ATTTGTATTCTATTTTTATCCTATTGTATATTTTATTCTATTTTATTCTACTGTATATAGTATTTTATTTTATTCTATTCTGTACAGTTGTGTACAGTATTTTATTCTCATTGTATTCTAATTTTTGCTATACAACTTTTGCACTGTCCACTTCCTGCTGTGACAAAACAAATTTCCCACGTGTGGGACTAATGAAGGTTATCTTATCTTATTACAAACTCCATTTGGATTAGGATAAAAGAAAATTCCCTCTTGCTTCTGCCTCCAGGCTTTAGCATTCTCGCATTCCCCCTGCAGCCTCCATTTCCCCATAACCAACAGCACACCGAGCATCTGTTCTGCTGAAGCCGCCTTATAATATTTTTGCTATTTGATGTTTACCGTCTTGTTAAATACAGCCAGGAGTTCCTAAAGGTGCGTTTTTTGGGTTTTATGTTATGTGACGTCGTTATTTTAAGTCAGTCTTGACAGAAAAAAACCCCACTGTTACAGTTTGTCTGGATCCATGGTTGTCTTGAGTCAACCATGTCCACTCCAGTCCGCTAGGTGGCAGCGCTGCATTGACACTGTCACAACTCCCGGCAGCACAAACGCGTCAACTGTCCGGAAATAAAAACTACTTGCGGAAAAGGGAACATGGAAGCGGCAGTGTTCATTTTGTCTCTTGTGGATTGTTGTGCGCTGATTTTCCTCTCCGTTTACTTCGTATCCTTTTCGATTCAGTGAGTCGGGCGACGGTACTCGTCTGCGTCAAAGCGGTTTTCTGTCCGAGAGCTTTGCTGAAGTCTTCTCCGTATAAAAAAAAGCTAATTTAATAGCAGCCAGCTAGCTTGTTAGCCGCCTTGTTATGAGCGTTGTAGTCGGGCTTGTGTGACGGAATAAGTGTATGAAAGTTTGTAGAGTGTTTTGAGTTAGCAGTCACGAAGAGCCGCTATCTGCAAATATCTCTGTACTGATAGTTTCATTTCACACTGTCGGCTTTTATATTTCAGTCCCACGCAGCGCTGCGGTGCGTGGGTCCACTGTTGCTGGACCGATCGGCGATGAAAAATGAGGCCAGTCCAGCACATCCTTAATATGTATGTATATATTTTAAAGGATAATCGAAGGAGCCACAGTCGAGGTCCTGAATGCAACATCCTTTTCACAGCACATTGTACCTTAACTTGAAATATAGATTATAACCTTGTCTGACCTAGAATGTGACTACATCAATGCTAGAGCCTGCTGTTCCAAGCTGAACAAAGTAAGTTGTCTTATTGATTTCATAGATATGGTTGATGATGCAGTTGATCTTTTACCCCCGTCGTTTATGAAATAATCATGGCTTCTTTTCTTTTTGTAACCGACTGTAAAGATCATTTTCACACTCAGATTTCTAATCTGTAATTCAAATGTTTGTTTGATGTTTAGTGGGTAATTCCAGAGATGGTTGCCCAGTGTCTTTCCACCATGCTCATGTTGGTCTCGATGCACTGGTTCATCCTCCTCCTCAACCTGCCTGTAGCAGCCTGGAACATTTACAGGTATGCCCATCCAGTCTCAGCATCAGTTAGGTCCACCACGGCTACACGTGCATGTCGGGATCCTTTCTCTTTTGTAGTTGTTCCTTTTATGTCACGTGGTTGGAAAAATAATTAAAGCAGCAATGATCGGGCCCTCACCCAAGAGGCTTCTTGGGTTCTAAAGCCAAAAGGTAAAAATCCCAATATTTAAAGTGGACCTGAAACACTACATGTATACAGGCTAACATGAATAACTGTCTGTGTCGCTGGATTTAAGAAACAAGTGCTTTAAAACATGTTTAGTGCCATCTAGTGTCGGTACAGAACATGATGTCACCAGGTTGGCTGGTGCTAATGCTGCTTACATTCATTTGTTAGCAGACTAGTGACCAAAACTCAAAATGAGTCTGTGGGCATCACTGTTGTATTGTCCCTTGGTGGATTGAAACAGGAAGTGTTAGCTGTAATGTTCGGTTCTGTAAAGCACTATAAATGAGACCTGTGTGGAGGAGAGCCTGTTTGAGTCACCAGACCAACCAGCTGGACTGTGGCGCTGGTATGTTCCTCACCAGGCTGGATGCACCAAGCCGTACGATCTCCAGGCAAAGCAATGCAGTCGTTGTCATTTCATACAGTCTCTCTCAAGCACACCAGACAGTTCAGAACGTGTCTCTTCCTCGCAGTCACCATTTTTTCTTTTTTCCGATTGCACGCATCGACCTATTTTTCCCAGTTGTGCTTCAACAAGATACATAGTTGTTTGTGGTGTGCACGTAGGAACCTGTTGTTTTACTGTTTTGCTTGGGAGACGATTGAAATAGAGCTGATCACATGGGCTGACTGCACCGCTCGCTGCACCCAGCCACATGAGGAAAATCAGACTCAAACAGGCTCCTCTACACACCTCTCATTTAAGCCCACTGTATAAAACCCAACATTACAGCTAACAGCTGGATGCTCCTGTTTCCTGAAGCACTTACTGCTGAAGATGGAGTGAAAGTGGAAAGTACGTCCTTATATTTGTTAACACGAAACTCCTCGTTATTGGTTCTGTCACTAGTTGGCTAATAAACTAATGCAAGTCCATTAGCAGCAACTAACCAATCAGATGATGTCATGTTCTGTACTGGCACAAAACATGTAAAACTTTAGGCACTTATTTCTTAAAGGAGTCGAGCTTTCCAAGCTTAAGACTAGCATGACCTGAGAACCTACACAGACCTGACAAAAGTCAGAGCTCGTTCCTACAAGAAGTCCTGCCATTAATTAATTCTTCGATCTTAAATATGATCAACCTATCTCTAATGATCGGCTATGTACCACAGGCCTTCAAGCTGGCTGTAGTTA